TTTTTCTGTACACGATCTGATTCTATTATAATAAGCTAAGGAAAACTCTTGAATAAAACTAATCTTTAATCTTTTTTTCTTCTTTCAAAATAAAATAATCAAAAATGAAATTTTTTTCTTCAAGAGATGATATTTCCTTCATTTCATCTCGTTATTAAACAATGCCATAATCAATGGCGTTCATTATTATTTCGTAGAATTAGTATTATTAATCAACGACAATTATCAACGAATAATGATTATAAAAAAGATTCTAAACAACAAGGAAATAATATTCTTGTTCAATCTCAAAATAATCAAATTGATGTCACTGCATTTACTCATAAAGGTACAAAGAAATATATCTAATTTTCTTCTGATTATTTGTTTTCTTTTTATAGCTCAACAAGCAGTTAAAGATTGTGTTTATTCACTTGTTATTGTAGCAGGAGTTGTTGCATTAGGTGGAGTATGTTATTTAATTTTACATGAACTCTATTCAAGAGAAACACCTAATGGAATTTATAAAGAAGCATCAAAATTATGTTTAGCGAATATTAATGTAAGTTCATTATTCGAATAAAATCATATACTATATTATATATATATAATAGGTACAAGAAGCTTTAGGTACACCAATTCTGGTTCATACAACACCTCAAATTGGTTCATTGAGGATTAATAATGTTCGGTAATAAGATTTGAATGGTTAAGAGCCGGATATTCCTTGTATGAATTACTTTAGAAAAAAAAGATTTAATGAAGACTTTTTATGCAAAAGAATATTATTTTTCTCGATTAAAACAACTTGAGAGATTGTAGCTAAACACTTGAAGTGTTTTAATAAACATTTTTATTCTTGTTCATGAATAGAGCTACGAGTTTTCGAGGAATATTGCTTCTTGCATCATTACAAATAAGTAGAGCCCGCCGCGTCCACGTTTTTTTGGACCCGGATCCTGAACTCGGATCCTGAACCGGACCCGACCCGGACTCGTTCGATAAATTTTTTTTAGACCCGGACCCTGACTCGATGCCTAGTCCGGGTCCAGGTCCGACCCGATTTCGACGAGCAGTAGTCTGAACTCGAACTGTACTTTTAGAGCTCTCACTAAATTTTTCTACTTGAAATCTGATACTTGCTCCGAAAATACAATTTTATTTTTCTTATTCTCATGTTCAACGAGTAGTATACCATAAGTTAAAGAGTTTTTGAATAAAATGAATAAAATTTAAAGAAGTTCAAAAACATATTATGTTGATAATATATTTCTTTCTATCCGGACCCGGTCAGAAAAAGCTTCGATGCCCGGACCCGGATCCGACGGGCTCTACAAATAAAACTGCTCCCGAAGGTAATTGTTAATCAACTATATATGAGTTCATGACAAAAATGAATTACTCACTTAGAGCTATGTCCCGTGTATACGTCTAAATATCAGCAGATCTTGAATTATTTATAATTTATTTATGACATCCAGTACTGTATATTGATGTAGTCATTCAAACTTATTTTAAGTTTAACACAAAACAATCAATAATACTTTGAGGATTAGTAGGAGTTGTCACGAAACGTGGTGATTATCGATTATCAAAATATCTTTTCTTTTTATATTTCTAGTGCTAAAATGTTTGACGAAAAAGGTCGTCGAAGTATGACAGTTTCTTTTTATTTAACTGGTAAAGAACGATCTGGTGTTGTTGCTATAAAAGTTCAAAAGGTAAATTAATAATACCTTTTTTTTAATATTAATCACAAATTCTTCTAGAATATTTCGAATAAATTTGTTTATGATTATATTCTTGTTCAACTTGATCGACCATGGCATAATCAAAATATCCTACACGTTCATCAAAATCTCAATTAATTATCCTTAGATATAGAAGAGAATTTAATTGTATATATAGATTATTTTTTTTTATTTTAAATATATTTTTATTCAAAGCATGGTCGAATAGTACTATCAATTGTTTTTACAGTTTGATAATCACGATCAATATCTTCAATTTGTATTCCAATACGATTATTTAATTGATTTTTATTAAATCGATTTCGATGTTCATTTATAATTGTTGTTGATGATGATGATGATGATGAACAACAATGTTTTCGATATGTAAATATAAGAATAGTAAAGAGAATAATTAATAATGTTAATGCTATTAATGCACAAAATAAATAAAGAATTAAAGTTAAAAGTGTTTGGCGAGGAGATGATGAACTATCAGTAGATAAATCATCTAATTTCCAAGAAGATATATTAAATATTGTAGAATTATTTTCGTTTAAATAAGCATCTGTAGTTGATAAAACTGGTATTGTCGGCGTAGTCTCAATTATATATTGAGTATCATTTGTAGTATTTATGACCTCTAAAAGTACATTTATATACGTTTAAAAAGTGATTTATTACTCACCATTTGGACAATTTTCAATTAAAATATCATCAATAGCAAACCAAACTATAGAATTATTATTCGTATCGGGTAAATGTCTAACTTCAAAATTAATCTGTAACAAGAAAAATGAATATTTTGTTTTCCTATATAATTAATTTCATTACTCGAAATTCTTTCGATGCTTTAAATGTCACATTTCCTTGTTGCCATATAGAATCATTTATATCTAATGAATTATTTTTATTGATTAAACTTTTCCATTGACCTAATAAATTCATTCGTGTTCGAGATTTTTCGATAGAATAAATTTCGAGAAAATCATGTTCATTTTGAATAGTATATCGAAATGTTAATCGAATTTCATATGAACATAATGAAGATAAATATAACCATGATGTCATAATTACATCAGTAAAACCATTTCGTTCATCTTCTTTACTTTCAGCATCAGCAATTAATACTAAAATATATGTTTAAAAGAAAATACAACTACAGATGTATATACTTTTATTATTATTATCTAGATTTATAATATGCCATCGTCGACCTATACTCCATTTACAACTACCAGATGAAAATGTACATGGTTGATTATATTGAACAGAAAAGACCAATTTTATGAATACAATCAGTATTAAATCTAAGAATATCAATTCGTTTTTGAAATGAAGAAAAAACATGCATGAATGGCTTACAAATGTTCATTGTTAAATTTATGCTGTTTCTTTCAATGATTGAATGACTCAAATGAATGTATACATAGACAAAAGGATGTATAAGCAATTATTATAATCAATCGCTTTCTTTTTTTCTTTTATTGACAAACGGATTATCTAATTATTTGATTGACGTTGCAATGCAACGATAAGAAATAGATTTCTTCTAAGCAACTATATCTTTTCTTTGTAGTTTTCTATCAGCAAAAAAATTCAAATATTTCATAAATATAATTAAGAAAAAGTTATTTGCGTTTATTATTTTTATTTTTTCTTTCCTTTCAAATAGTTAATACAACGTAAAGTTACTATGGTGTCTATTGCGAAGAAGAAAAAAAACTTCGGTCTATGTTATTTGCCTATATAAAGGTAAAACATATTCGAACAGAAGATTAACTTGATTTGAGATTTTTCGACTACATTTTCATCGATATATAAAACGTAAAAAAAACACGTTTGTTATTTGATAAAAATTCAAGCAGTGATTGTTTATTTTCAAATGTCAACAAATAGAAAAAGTCGTAAATCTTTAGAATTAACTCCCAAAGGTATGTTTCCTTTTAATCAATATAAAATCGGATCACTTTTTCAATTAATTATCTTAGAAATTGCTGCATTATTAGAAGCTTCTCATATAACTGAAGAGGGTAATATATTTTATTGAATTTAAATCTTATTTATTTTTTTTATTTTGGCTACCTATAGAAATACAACATTGGCATGCAGTATGTTCAATTATTTTATAGTATAAATCTATTTGCTTTTTAAATTTAAGGATTTTCTTCATCATTGTCCATCAGGCCAATTGGATAAGAAAGCATTTACTGAATATTATAGAAAATTAAATCCAAGAGAAGGATTAAACGATTCATTTGAGTATATTATCTTAGAATATTTGTTTTTTTTTTATATTTTATTTTCTTATCATATTTAGAGCAATTTTTGATATGATAGATGTTAATAAAGATAATACAGTTGATTTTAATGAATTTTTAGTTGTTATAGTTTTAATCAATCGTATAAATGATTTAGGATCTCGACTTTCATTTGTATTTGATATGTAGATTTACAATTATTTATAATGATATTATCTATAATTTATTTATTTCTAAGGTGGGATCAATCCGATGATGGGCATATTGATCAGAAAGAATTGGCAAATGTTATAACGGCTATAGTAAAATATTTCTATTGATTGGTTTTGTAGAAATTTCTTTTTTTTATTTTATTTTAAATGTTTAGTATGATCGTGCTGGTATAACCGATCGAAAAGGTGAACGAGATCCAAAAAAACGTGCCAAAGAAATTATTGCTAAACTTGATATTAGTGGTGATAAGAAATTAAATAAAGAAGAATTTATAACTGGGTATAGTTTAATCGAATTCGATTTCATTCGTACAAATATTTACTTATATTTTAGATGTAAAAATGATCCAATTATTCGCAATCTACTTGCTCCAAATGTATAAATATTTATTGTTGAACATTCAATAGTTTTAGACACACATAAATGATTGAAAGAGAGATTTTAGTGAAAATAAATATTCGTAATTTATTTAGAAAATCATGATTCTAAATATTTGAAAAACAACTAGCCATGATATTATTTGGAAACAATGTATCTATAAAGATTTAAAAAATAGAATATAATCAATAAATTTCATATATTCTTACCAGTCGTTTTTAGTGGAGCACAGAAACCAGTTTTCATCTCGATCATAACAATAACAACTATTGAGAATGTTATTTTTCCATTTGACATAATAGGAAAACGATCATCCGTTTTCACTCGCTTGACAATTAAATGAAGTCCAGTTAGACTAGCCTTATTATCAGATGCTGTAGTAATTATGTGAGACATGCAAGGGGGAACATCGCTAAATAGAAAAAAAAA